TAAATATATTAAACAACCACGGTGACATCACACATCCTTGTCAAGGCCTACTTTTATGGGAAATAATTTCCGTTTCCTACATACTCTAACTTGAGCCTCACTATCCTCGTAAAAACTCCCTTCACTGCTTTCAGTAACCTACCTCCTACACCATACACCTGCAACATCTGCCACATTGCCCCCCTATCCACCTGTCATACGCCTTTTCCAAATCCATTTAAAAGCCACAAAGACCTCTTTAGCCTTATCTAAATACTGTTCACTTTTTATGTTTCACTGTAAAACACCTGGTCCACACACCCTACCCTTTTCCCAAAGCCCCCTTGTTCATCTGCTATCCTATTCTCTGTCTTACTCTTAATTCTTTCAATAAAAACTCACCTACACTTTGCCAGGTATACTCAACAGACTTATCCCCCTATAATTTTTGCACTCTCTTTTATCCCCTTTGCCTTTATACAAAGGAACTATGCATTGCTCTCTGCCAATCCCTAGGTACCTTACCCTCTTCCATACATTTATTAAATAATTGCACCAAACCCCTGCAAAAATATATCCCCACCCGCTTTTAACATTTCTATCTTTATCCCATCAATCCCGGCTGCCTTAACGCCTTTCATTTTACTACTGTCTCAGAACTTCCCCCACACCCCACAACTGGCTCTTCCTCATCCTACAAGATGTTGTTCCTCCCTTTCCCTATACACGGGAAAACACAGCTTCCCTATCTTCATCAACATTTAACAATTCCTCAAAATTTTCCCTCCCTCTTCCAATACCTCTAACTCTCAATTTAATAACTCTCCTCTCCTATTTTTAACTGACAAATCCATTTGTTCTCTAGGCTTTCTTAACTTGTTAATCTCACTCCAAAACTTTTTCTTATTTTCAACAAAATTTGTTGATAACATCTCACCCACTCTCTCATTTGCTCTCTTTTTACATTGCTTCACCACTCTCTTAACCTCTCTCTTTTTCTCCATATACTCTTCCCTCCTTGCATCACTTCTACTTTGTAAAAACTTCTCATATGCTAACTTTTTCTCCCTTACTACTCTCTTCACATCATCATTCCACCAATCGCTCCTCTTCCCTCCCGCACCCACTTTCCTGTAACCACAAACTTCTGCTGAACACTTTAACACTACATTTTTAAACCTACCCCATACCTCTTCGACCCCATTGCCTATGCTCTCATTAGCCCATCTATCCTCCAATAGCTGTTTATATCTTACCCTAACTGCCTCCTCGTTTAGTTTATAAACCTTCACCTCTCTCTTCCCTGATGCTTCTATTTTCCTTGTATCCCATCTACCTTTGTATATAAGAAATATTGCATACTCCACCCACCATCTCTACTACACCCACCACCCTCACTACTCCACTCACCACCATATCTAGTCTACCCACTATCACTACTTTACCCACCACCATCACTACTCCATCCACCAGTATCAATACTCAACCCACCACTATCACTACACCCACTACCATCACTACTCCACCCAGCACTATCAGTACTCTACCCACTTTAATTATTGTTTCTGGAAAAAGTGTTGAAATGGAGGTTACCTCTTCCCTGGATTTATACAAGAACCAAATAAGGGACGAGGTGCCTTACTACAATCTGGGATTAGTGTGAGAGTATTATCCTTCCAGTTATGTCTTGGAAGAGCATGTTGGATTGAACCAAGTATCTGACATTCCTCTGGGTACAGAGTTGGCATGGGGCAGTGGGCCTCCAGCAGCAACAGCCTGGTTGATCAGGCAAGCACCAGACAAGCCTGGCTCATGGTCGGGCTCAGAGAGTAGATAAACTCTCGAAACTCTTCAAAGGTATATCAAAGGTAACTAGTAGAGGTGTATCTGAAGCTCGCTCGTAACACAGATTTTGGCTTGCAACTCAAAGCAAAAAATTGACTGAGCGATGGCTTGTAACTCGAAAATCTCCTAAGTTGGGGCACTCATAAGTCAAGATACCGCTGTATGCAAGATAAGCCATGGAGGGGGAGGTGGAAATCTTCAGCTCAAGTACTTTCACATTTCTCAGGAGCTGTGCAATGCTGCAAGGGCAGCAACAATAGAAATAGGGTAAATTTTTACAGAGTATGGTAATGAGGTGGTACCAGCCAATATATAACTAAGGGAGAGAGGCCCAGTGAAATGCCAACCACACACAGCTCCCCCCCACACCCCACCCAGCTATTACTGCATTCAGGTATCGTAATGTTACAGGTGCTCTAGGTGGTGTGCTGCAAAACAGACTGCAACCTGAGTGATATAATATCAGTAGCAAGGACACAGGCATGGAGGTTCATTTAGGTATGGGTGCACATGACAGCCAACAAGCTTACGCTTAACACTGAGAAAACCTACTATATTATACAAAAATAACCCACACATAAAAGAGTGAAGCTTACAACGACGTTTCGGTCCGACTTGGACCATTTACAAAGTCACACTAACAAGAAGTGGAGCAGGACGGCTATATATCAGCAGGAAGAGGTGGTGGTGGTAGTAGTAGTAGTAGTACAAGAATGGTATATAATACCAACAAGATGAAATTAAGACACATGCGCAACACCCGGGCATCCCTATCGTAGACGTTTCGCCATCCAGTGGCTGGCTGGATGGCGAAATGTCCACAACAAAGACACCCAGATGCCGCATATGTGTCTTAATTTCATCAGTAGTAGTAGTAGTAGTAGTAGAAGAGGTAGTAGTAGTGGTAGTGGTAGAAGTGGGGAATAAGGAGGACGAGCCAGTCAAATACAAAGGAAGGGGCAAGCAACGCAACCGAGATTATCAGGTCGCCACGGGGAGTGGAAAGGCAATTCAGCAAGGGGGAAAGGGGAAAAGTGGTCACAATAAGGAATTCTGAGGGAAAGGAAGACACGCAGAGACAGAAGAGAACAACCCCAGAGGCGTGAAAGAAGGGGAAAAGAGGAAAGGGAGAAGAGGGAGAAAAGAAAAAGAAAAAAGAAAAAATGAGGAGTCAGGTTAAGTCACGGGTGTTCTGAAGTTTGGAGCATTTTACAATGTAGTGGGAGAGGAAGGCATCTACAGAGACAAAGCCAGGGCTAAGATTCATACAAGGAAAGTTGTGTATTAGAGAGGATTCAACTAGACGGCGACTGTTCGAGTTGGAAGTAGGGAAGACAGTTTTAGCAGAAGATCAGTCAATAGGATGGCTATGATCTCTAACGTGACAGAAAAGAGCATTGTTAGTGTTGGCAAGCCTAACACTATTTTTGTGCTCCCTAAGTCTGTCAGAAAGAGATCGACCAGTTTCTCTGAAGTATTGAAGAGGACAGGAGGAGCAAGAAATAGAGTAGACACCAGGAACATCTGTAGAGGGAGGAGAGGTATGAACGAGATTAGTGCGAAGAGTGTTAGTCTGGCGGAAGGTATGCTTGATGTCCAAGGGACGGAGAGAATTGTCGAGATTAGAAAGACCGGAAATGTAGGGAAGGCAGAGGATAGAAGAGTTCCCAGGAGTAGAGAATTTGGGAGAGAAGAAATTACGTTTAGCACGTGAGAGGGCAGAGTCTATGAAATGGGAAGGGTAGCCAAGATGGGAAAACAAATTATGAAGGTGATGTAAATGGTCCAAGTCGGACTGAAACGTCGTCGTAAGCTTCTCTCTTTTATGTGCGGGTTATTTGTGTATCGTTCCAGTCACGGTATTGTGCCTTTTTTGTTACCTACTATATTATGTTTGGTAGCAGAGCAGGATTTGAGCAAATTAACATTAAGATCGACAACACTCTAATTGCCAGACATAATGAGGGCAAATTCCTAGGCCTATACCTCGACAACAATCTGAATTTCAGCACCCATATCCAACACATAACCAAAAAAGTATCCAAAGCGGTTGGGATCCTCTCCAAGATACGATACTACGTGCTGCAAAATGCCCTTCTCACACTATACCACTCACTTATTCATCCATACCTCACCTATGCTATTTGTGCTTGGAGATCAACTGCAGCAACACACCTAAAGCCAATAATAACCCAACAAAAAGCCGCAGTAAGAATAATCACTAAATCCCATCCCTGGCAACCCCCCCCCCCCACCACTCTTCATAGATCTAAACTTACTCATTAACCTTGACCTGAAATGCTTTCTTGATAGTTGTGACAGAACCCACAGGCATAACACCAGACACAAACATCTCTATGACATTCCCTGTGTCTGACTAAACCTTTACAAAAATTCAATGTATGTCAAAGGCCCTAAAATCTGGAACACCCTACATGAAAACTCTAGAACTGCAGACACATTCATCACCTTCAAAACTACCATTAGAAAACATCTTATCTCCCTGATACACCCCGTCAACTAATTACAGGAATACCACCTGGTGGTTCACACTTACACTCCCTCACCCATTTGACCATAAACAGAAATATCAATCTCAATCTTAAAATAATGAATCCTAACTAGTCATAAGTTGGCCTGTGATACTCCAATACTGAAACTATGTATAGTGCCAAAACAAAAGCATTCACATTGCTAAACTCACAAACTTGTATTTAGTCACTTAGCCATAATACCAACTTACCTCATAATTTGTAATATTTTAAAGTTAAGAATTAATCTAAGTCTGCCCAAAATGCCTAGCCATGCTAGGTGTTATAGTGGCCCCCTCTGTAATTAGTATTTTACATGTAAACCACACAATAACCAAATTCTGTAAACTCAGCATTGTAATCCTTATAGAGAATAAACTTTGAATTTGAATGTGCGATCATCCTAAGATAACCCAAAAGAGAGGTAGAGTGACCTAGTTAATCACTACAGCTACCTCACTTTAATACCAGTATGATCCATAACCTGTGTCAATATATAGTAAGAAATAGTATTAGTCTGCCTGAAATGCTTAGGCAAACCTAGGCATACTAGTGGCCTTCTTTGTAATAAGTATTTTATAATATGCAATAATATTTTATAACACGTAAACCCCGGCATTGTACTATCAACAGAGAAATAAAGAATTTTAATTTTTTAATTTTAATTTTACTGAGGTCCTAGCCAATCTAGGTACAGTGGTACAAAGTACACATAGTTAACTGCAACATGGTGATTGCAACTAGTTTAGTGGTTTACTGTATTACATTGTCATTAATATTATAATGATAATAATAATGATAGTTGCAGGTGATAGAGGACAATAATGATAGTAATAGTGTTAAAAATAAAATATGTAAATCTGGAATTATCTAGTTATTATAAGAAAGAAAAGCCTGAATAGGAGAATTCACAAAGGCATATTAACTGACACAGAATATTTCTTGAATATTCTAAAACATTGTATATACAGTGGAACCTCTACTCATGAGCGCATCCATGTGTGAGTTTTTCCAAATACGAGGAGTCGATGGGTCAATTTTTTGCTTCCATACGTAAGCAAAATTTCCACAAGTGAGCAGACCTCAAGGCAGGTTCCTTGACACTGGTGAGGGGCTCTTGCTCTTGATCTCGGGAATTGTATCTCATTTGTTTGTTGGACTATCTTATTGAAACTTGGGCAATGTATGATGGAAAGATGCTTCTTAACATACACCAAAAATAAAAGAAGTCTAAGCATAAATAATGGAGTTCACTTCTCAGCAATTAGCCACCCCTTAGCAGTATTTTTGTATGGTTTTTATGATTGTATTCTCACTTTTTTGGTCTCATTTGATAGAATGGGAGATATATTACAGAAATAGATATGATTTTGATTGCTTTCACGATGAAAAGTACCTTCAAATAGAGCTCAACATAAGAGAAATGTTCGATTGTTTTGGCTATGTTGAAGAGTAAAAAAATGACAATGTCCATTCCAATATGCAGTCGTGAATGGGTTGACATTATTTATACAATTATTGTAAAAAGGCTTCACAGTACACCTTATATTTTTTGTGTGAATAATAATTGCAAATTATTTATATTGTAATAATACGTAATAATAATAATAATAATGTATAATAGTATAATATAATACAATAATAATAATATGTATAATAATAATACATATGTAATAATAATGTACTACATAATAATAATACATAATAGACGGCTTCAAAAGGCCGTCACTAGATGGCAGTGTTTACCACAACAAAGAGGGAGCGGTTGTGGCCGCCTCCATCTATTACATGACATATTTTATCCATTCTAGAGTATTTATCAGGTTTCTATATTATTTATATTGATTATTATTTCATATTAGATGAACTGTGATAGATAAATAAGCCGTAGAGTTGATGATAGTGAAATATTCAAGAAATATTTTGTCCTGTCTCCAGACAAACTCTCGTCGGCCTCCGCCACGGCAACATATATAATGACATATTTTATTCATTCTAGACTATATATCAGGTTTCTATGTTATTTACATTGTTATGTCATAGTGATGAAACGAGAGATAAATAAGCCATACAGTTGATGATAGCAAAATATTCGAGGAGTATTTTGTCCTGTCTCCAGACAAACTCTCGTCAGCTGAAGCCACAACATATTTTTTTTTTAATTTTATTGACACACTGGCCGATTCCCACCAAGGCAGGGTGGCCCAAAAAAGAAAAACTTTCACCATCATTCACTTCATCACTGTCTTGCCAGAAGGGTGCTTTACACTACAGATTTTAAACTGCAACATTAACACCCCTCCTTCAGAGTGCAGGCACTGTACTTCCCATCTCCAGGACTCAAGTCCGGCATGCCGGTTTCCCTGAATCCCTTCATAAATATTACTTTGCTCACACTCCAACAGCACGTCAAGTATTAAAAACCATATGTCTCCATTCACTCCTATCAAACACGCTCACGCATGCCTGCTGGAAGTCCAAGCCCCTTGCACACAAAACCTCTTTTACCCCCTTCCTCCAACCTTTCCTAGGCCGACCCCTACACCGCCTTCCTTCCACTACAGACTGATACTTTTGAAGTCATTCTGTTTCGCTCCATTCTCTCTACATGCCCGAACCACCTCAACAACCCTTCCTCAGCCCTCTGGACAACAGTTTTGGCAATCCCGCAACTCCTCCTAACTTCCAAACTACGAATTCTCTGCATTATATTCACACCACACATTGCCCTCAGACGTGACATCTCCACTGCCTACAGCCTTCTCCTCGCTGCAACATTCATCATCCATGCTTCACACCTATACAGGAGCGTTGGTAAAACTATACTCTCATACATTCCCCTCGTTGCTTCAAAGGACAAAGTTCTTTGTCTCCACAGACTCCTAAGTGCACCGCTCACCCTTTTCCCCTCATCAATTCTATGATTCACCTCATCTTTAATAGACCCATCTGCTGACATATCCACTCCCAAATATCTGAATACATTCACCTCCTCCATACTCTCTCCCTCCAATCTTTCATCACCTAATCTTTTTGTTATCCTCATAACCTTACTCTTTCCTGTATTCACTTTCAATTTTCTTCTTTTACATACCCTACCAAATTCATCCACCAACCTCTGCAACTTCTCTTCAGAATCACCCAAAAGCACAGTGTCATCAGCAAAGAGCAACTGTGACAACTCCCACTTTATGTGTGATTCTTTACCTTTTAACTCCACACCTCTTGCCAAGACCCTCACATTTACTTCTCTTACAACCCCATCTATAAATATATTGAACAACCACGGTGACATCACACATCCTTGTCTAAGGCCTACTTTTACTGGGAAATAATTTCCCTCTTTCCTACATACTCTAACTTGAGCCTCACTATCCTCATAAGAACTCTTCACTGCTTTCAGTAACCTACCTCCTATACCATACATCTACAACATCTGCCACATTGCCCCCTTATCCACCCTGTCATATATATATTATATTATATTATCACACCGGCCGATTCCCACCAAGGCAGGGTGGCCCGAAAAAGAAAAACTTTCACCATCATTCACTCCATCACTGTCTTGCCAGAAGGGTGCTTTACACTACAGTTTTTAAACTGCAACATTAACACCCCTCCTTCAGAGTGCAGGCACTGTACTTCCCATCTCCAGGACTCAAGTCCGGCCTGCCGGTTTCCCTGAATCCCTTCATAAATGTTACTTTGCTCACACTCCAACAGCACGTCAAGTATTAAAACCTTTTTGTCTCCATTCACTCCTATCAAACACGCTCACGCATGCCTGCTGGAAGTCCAAGCCCCTCGCACACAAAACCTCCTTTACCCCCTCCCTCCAACCCTTCCTAGGCCGACCCCTACCCCGCCTTCCTTCCACTACAGACTGATACACTCTTGAAGTCATTCTGTTTCGCTCCATTCTCTCTACATGTCCGAACCACCTCAAACAACCCTTCCTCAGCCCTCTGGACAACAGTTTTGGTAATCCCGCACCTCCTCCTAACTTCCAACTACGAATTCTCTGCATTATATTCACACCACACATTCCCCTCAGACATGACATCTCCACTGCCTCCAGCCTTCTCCTCGCTGCAAACATTCATCACCCACGCTTCACACCCATATAAGAGCGTTGGTAAAAACTATACTCTCATACATTCCCCTCTTTGCCTCCAAGGACAAAGTTCTTTGTCTCCACAACTCCTAAGTGCACCACTCACTCTTTTTCCTCATCAATTCTATGATTCACCTCATCTTTCATAGACCCATCCGCTGACACGTCCCCTCCAAATATCTGAATACGTTCACCTCCTCCATACTCTCTCCCTCCAATCTGATATTCAATCTTTCATCACCTAATCTTTTTGTTATCCTCATAACCTTACTCTTTCCTGTATTCACCTTTAATTTCCTTCTTTTGCACACCCTACCAAATTCATCCACCAATCTCTGCAACTTCTCTTCAGAATCTCCCAAGAGCACAGTGTCATCAGCAAAGAGCAGCTGTGACAACTCCCACTTTGTGTGTGATTCTTTATCTTTTAACTCCACGCCTCTTGCCAAGACCCTCGCATTTACTTCTCTTACAACCCCATCTATAAATATATTAAACAACCACGGTGACATCACACATCCTTGTCTAAGGCCTACTTTTACTGGGAAAAAATTTCCCTCTTTCCTACATACTCTAACTTGAGCCTCACTATCCTCGTAAAAACTCTTCACTGCTTTCAGTAACCTACCTCCTACACCATACACTTGCAACATCTGCCACATTGCCCCCCTATCCACCCTGTCATACGCCTTTTCCAAATCCATAAATGCCACAAACACCTCTTTAGCCTTATCCAAATACTGTTCACTTATATGTTTTCACTGTAAACACCTGGTCCCACACCCCCTACCTTTCCTAAAGCCTCCTTGTTCATCTGCTATCCTATTCTCCGTCTTACTCTTAATTCTTTCAATTATAACTCTACCATACACTTTACCAGGTACACTCAACAGACTTATCCCCCTATAATTTTTGCACTCTCTTTTATCCCCTTTGCCTTTATACAAAGGAACTATGCATGCTCTCTGCCAATCCCTAGGTACCTTACCCTCTTCCATACATTTATTAAATAATTGCACCAACCACTCCAAAACTATATCCCCACCTGCTTTTAAACATTTCTATCTTTATCCATCAATCCCGGCTGCCTTACCCCCTTTCATTTTACCTACTGCCTCACGAACTTCCCCCACACTCACAACTGGCTCTTCCTCACTCCTACAAGATGTTATTCCTCCTTGCCCTATACACGAAATACACAGCTTCCCTATCTTCATCAACATTTAACAATTCCTCAAAATATTCCTTCCATCTTCCCAATACCTCTAACTCTCCATTTAATAACTCTCCTCTCCTATTTTTAACTGAAAAATTTCCATTTGTTCTCTGGGCTTTCTTAACTTGTTAATCTCACTCCAAAACTTTTTCTTATTTTCAACAAAATTTTTTGAAACATCTCACCCACTCTCTCATTTGCTCTCTTTTTACATTGCTTCACCACTCTCTTAACTTCTCTCTTTTTCTCCATATACTCTTCCCTCCTTGCATCACTTCTACTTTGTAAAAAACTTCTCATATGCTAACTTTTTCTCCCTTACTACTCTCTTTACATCATCATTCCACCAACGCTTCCTCTTCCCTCCTGCACCCACTTTCCTGTAACCACAAACTTCTGCTGACCCACTCTAACACTACATTTTTAAACCTACCCATACCTCTTCGACCCCATTGCCTATGCTCTCATTAGCCCATCTACCCTCCAATAGTGTTTATTTTCTTACCCTATACTGCCTCCCTTTTTTAGTTTATAAACCTTCACCTCTCTCTTCCCTGATGCTTCTATTCTCCTTGTATCCCATCTACCTTTTACTCTCATGTAGCTACAACTAGAAAGTGATCTGTTTATATCTTTTGCCCCTCTATAAACATGTACATCCTGAAGTCTACTCAACAGTCTTTATCTACCATACATAATCCAACAAACTACTGTCCCATTTCGCCCTACATCATATCGTTATTTATTTATCCTTTTTTTTCTTAAAATAAGTTACCTATAACTAAACCCCTTTCTATACAAAGTTCAATCAAAGGGCTCCCATTATCATTTACACCTGGCACCCCAAACTTACCCTACCAAAACCTCTCTAAATTTTCTCCTACTTTAGCATTCAAGTCCCCTACCACAACCCCCTCCTCACCTTGGGTTCAAATGCTCCTATACATTCACTTAACATCTCCCAAAATCTCTCTCTCTCCTCTGCTTCCTCTCTTTCCAGGTGCATACACGCTTATTAAAACCCCACTTCTCGCATCCAACCTTTACTTTAATCCACATAATTCTTGAATTTACACATTCATATTCTCTTTTCTCCTTCCATAACTGATCATTTAACTTTAAACTGCTACCCTTCCTTTGCTCTAACTCTCTCAGATACTCCAAAATTTAATCCCATTTATTTCCCCCCACTGAAACTCTCCTACCCCCTTCAGCTTTGTTTCGCTTAGGGCCGGGACATCCAACTTTTTTTCATTCATAACATCAGCAATCATCTGTTTCTTGTCATCCGCACTACATCCCGCACATTTAAGCAACCCAGTTTTATAAAGTTTTTCTTCTTCTCTTTTTTAGTAATTGTATACAGGAGAAGGGGTTACTAGCCCATTGCTCCCGGAAATTTTAGTCGCCTCATACGACACGCAGGCTTACGGAGGAAAGATTCTTTTCCACTTCCCCATGGACAATAGAAGAAATAAAAAAAGAACAAGAGCTATTTAGAAAAAGGAGAAAAACCTAGATGTATGTATATATATATATGCATGTGCGTGTCTGTGAAGTGTGACCAAAGTGTAAGTAGGAGTAGCAAGATATCCCTGTTATCTTAGCGTGTTTATGAGACAGAAAAAGAAACCAGCAATCCTACCATCATGCAAAACAGTTACAGGTTTTTGTTTCACAGTCATCTGGCAGGACGGTAGTACTTCCCTGGGTGGTTGCTGTCTACCAACCTACTACCTACCTGTCATATGTCTTTTCCAAATCCATAAATGCCACAAAATCCTCTATAGCCTTACCTAAATACTGTTCACTTACATGTTTCACTGTAAACACCTGGTCCACACACCCCCTACCTTTCCTAAAGCCTCCTTGTTCATCTGCTATTCTATTCTCAGTCTTACTCTCAATTCTTTCAATAATAACTCTACCATATGCTTTATCAGGTATACTCAACAGACTTATCCCCCTATAATTTTTGCACTCTCTTTTGTCCCCTTTGCCTTTATACAAAAGAACTATGCATGCTCTCTGCCAATCCCTAGGTACCTTACCCTCTTCCATACATTTATTAAATAATAGCACCAACCACTCCAAAGCTATATCCCCACCTGCTTTTAACATTTCTATGTTTATCCCATCAATCCCAGCTGCCTTACCCCCTTTCATTTTACCTAGTGCCTCATAAACTTCCCCCACACTCACAACTGGCTCTTCCTCTCTCCTACAAGATGTTATTCCTCCTTGCCCTATTCACGAAACCACAGCTTCTCTATCTTCATCAACATTCAACAATTCCTCAAAATATTCCATCTTCCCAATACCTCTAACTCTCCATTTAATAACTCTCCTCTCCTATTTTTAACTGACAAATCCATTTGTTCTCTAGGCTTTCTTAACTTGTTAATCTCACTCCAAAACTTTTTATTTTAAACAAAATTTGTTGATAACATCTCACCCTCTCTCTCATTTGCTCTCTTTTTACGTTGCTTCACCACTCTCTTAACCTCTCTCTTTTTCCCCATATACTCTTCCCTCCTTGCATCACTTCTACTTTGTAAAAACTTCTCATATGCTAACTTCTTCTCCCTTACTACTCTCTTTACATCATTCCACTAATCGCTCCTCTTCCCTCCTGCACCCACTTTCCTGTAACCACAAACTTTTGCTGAACACTCTAACACTACATTTTTAAACCTACCCCATACCTCTTTGACCCCATTGCCTATGCTCTCATCAGCCCATCTATCCTACAATAGTTTTTTTATATCTTACCATAACTGCCTCCTCTTTTAGTTTATAAACCTTCACCTCTCTCTTACCTGATGCTTCTCTTCTCCTTGTATCCCATCTAACTTTTACTCTCAGTGTAGCTACAACTAAAAAGTGATCTGTCTGTGGCCCCTCTATAAACATGTATATCCTGAAGTCTACTCAACAGTCTTCTATCTACCAATACATAATCCAACAAACTACTGTCATTTCACCCTACATCATATCTTGTATACTTATTTATCCTCTTTTTCTTAAAATATGTATTACCTATAACTAAACCCCTTTCTATACAAAGTTCAATCAAAGGTCTTCCATTATCATTTACACCTGGCACCCCAAACTTACCTACCACACCCTCTCTAAAAGTTCCTCCTACTTAGCATTCAGGTCCCCTACCACAATTACTCTCTCACTTGGTTCAAAGGTTCCTATACTTTTCCTTACATCTCTAAAAAATCCTCTCTCTCCTCTATATTCCTCCTCTTCTCCAGGTGCATACATGTTTATTATGATCCACTTTTCGCATCCAACCTTTACTTTAATCCACATAATCCTTGAATTTACACATTTATATTCTCTTTTCTCCTTCCATAACTGATCCTTCAATTATTGCTACCCCTTCCTTAGCTCTATCTCTCTCAGATACTCCAGATTTAATCCCATTTATTTCTCCCCACTGAAACTCCCCTACCCCCTTCAGCTTTGTTTCACTTAGGGCCAGGACATCCAACTCTTTTCATTCATAACATCAGCAATCATCTGTTTCTTGTCATCCGCATTACATCCACGCACATTCAAGCATCCCAGTTTTATAAAGTTTTTTCTTCTCTTTTTTAGTAAATGTTTACACGAGAAGGGGTTACTAGCCCATTGCTCCCGGCATTTTAGTTGCCTCATACAACACACATGGCTTACGGAGGAAAGATTCTTTTCCACTTCCCCATGGACAACAGAAGAAATAAAGAAGAACAAGAGCTATTTAGAAAAAGGAGAAAAAACCTAGATGTATGTATATATGCATGTGTATGCCTGTGAGGTGTGACAAAACTGAAAGTAGGAGTGGCAAGATATCCCTGTTATCTAGCGTGTTTATGAGACAGAAAAAGACACCGCAATCCTACAACCATGTAAAACAATTACAGGTTTCTGTTTCAGTCATCTGGCAGGACAGTAGTACCTCCCTGGGTGGTTGCTGTCTACCAACCTACTAACTACATATATAATGACATATATAATGAGAGGAGAAGGCTGGAGGCAGTGGAGATGTCATTTCTGAGGGCAATGTGTGGTGTGAATATAATGCAGAGAATTCGTAGTTTGGAAGTTAGGAGGAGGTGCGGGATTGCCAAAACTGTTGTCCAGAGGGCTGAGGAAGGGTTGTTGAGGTGGTTCGGACATGTAGAGAGAATGGAGCAAACCAGAATGACTTCAAGAGTGTATCAGTCTGTAGTGGAAGGAAGGTGGGGTAGGGGTCGGCCTAGGAAAGGTTGGAGGGAGGGGGTAAAGGAGGTTTTGTGTGCGAGGGGCTTGGACTTCCAGCAGGTATGCATGAGCGTGTTTGATAGGAGTGAATGGAGACATAGTTTTTAATACTTGATGTGCTGTTGGAGTTTGAGCAAAGTAACATTTATTAAAAGATTTAGGGAAACCGGCAGGCAGGACTTGAGTCCTGGAGATGGGAAGTACAGTGCCTGCACTCTGAAGGAGGGGTGTTAATGTTGCAGTTTAAAAACTGTAGTGTAAAGCACCCTTCTGGTAAGACAGTGATGGAGTGAGTGATGGTGAAAGTTTTTCTTTTTCGGGCCACTCTGCCTTGGTGGGAATCGGCCAGTGTGCTAATAGTAAAATATATAATGACATTTTATTCATTCTAGGGTATATATCAGGTTTGTATGTTATTTATATTGTTTGTTATGTCATATTAGATGAACTGTGATAGATATCTAAGCTGTATAGATGTTATTAACAAAATTATTCAAGAAGTATTTTGTCCTGTCTCCAGACAAACTCTCGTCCACCATTGACACCGCCCATACCACTACATGAATTACATATTTTATTCATTTTAGAGTATACATCAGGTTTCTATGTTATTTATATTGGTTATTATGTCATATTAGATGAAGTGAGATAGATAATTAATCCGTAAAGTTGATATTAGCAAAATTATTGAAGTACAGAATGCCACTGGAATGGATTAATTGCATTTCAGTTAATTTAAATGAGGAAAATTGACTCTGCAAATGAGCAAATCCAGTTGCAAGCAAGGTCAAGGAACAGATTAAACTCGCAAGTAGCAAGTAAGGTCAAGGAACAGATTAAACTCGCAAGTAGCAAGTAAGGTCAAGGAACAGATTAAACTCGCAAGTAGCAAGTAAGGTCAAGGAATGGATTAAACTCGCAAGTAGAGGTTCCACTGTATTCTCATGTGTTTAAAACTAAAATATTCCTGATACATTAAACACTAACATGTTTCATCTTCATATGTACTAGCAAATGTCTCGCAAGAGTGTTTTTCTTAGTAAAGCGTTTCAGACACTTTGAGCACTGAAATGGTTTATCTCCTGTGTGTACTCGCATATGTTTCACAAGAGTGCCTTTTTCACTAAAGCATTTCAAACAATTTGAACACTGAAATGGTTTATCTCCTGTATGTACTCGCAAATGTTTCACAAGACCGCCTTTTTCAGAAAACCATTTCAGACACTCTGAACATTGAAATGGTTTATATCCTGTATGAACTCTCAAGTGTGTCAAAAGACTATTTTTTGCAGTAAAACATTTCAGACACTCTGAACACTGAAATGTTTTATCTCCCGTATGTAGTCGCTTATGATTCACAAGACTGTCTTTCGTAGTAAAACATTTCAGACACTCTGAACACTGAAATGTTTTATCTCCCGTATGTAGTCGCATATGATTCACAAGACTGCCTTGTCTACTAAAATATTTCAGACACTCTGAACACTGAAATGTTTCATCTCTCTTATGTAGTCGTGTTGTTTCACCTCTCGTATGTAGTCGCATGTGATACACAAGACCGCCTTTTGTAGTAAAACATTTCAGACACTCTGAACACTGAAATGTGTCATCTCCTGTATGTAGTCGCATATGATTCATAAGACTGCCTTTTGTAGTAAAACATTTCAGACACTCTGAACACCGAAATGTTTCATCTCCCGTATGTAGTTGCATATGTTTCACAAGACTGCCTTTTGTAGTAAAACATTTCAGACACTCTGAACACCGAAATGTTTCATCTCCCGTATGTAGTCGCATATGATTCATAAGACTGCCTTTTGTAGTAAAACATTTCAGACACTCTGAACACTGAAATGGTTTATCTCCTGTATGCACTCTCATATGTTTCAAAAGATTACATTTCCCAATAAAACATTTCAGACACTCTGAACACTGAAATGGTTTATCTCCTGTATGAACTCTCATGTGTGTCAAAAGATTACCTTTTGCAGCAAAACATTTCAGACACTCTGAACACTGAAATGTTTCATCTCCCGTATGTATTCGCAAATGATTCATAAGATTGCCTTTTCTAGTAAAACATTTCAGACACTCTGAACACCGAAATGTTTCATATCCTGTATGTAGTCGCATATGATCCACAAGACTGCCTTTTGCACTAAAATATTTCAGACACTCTGAACACTGAAATGGTTTATCTCCTGTATGTACTCTCATATGTTTCAAAAGATAATATTTCCCAATAAAACATTTCAGGCACTCTGAACACTGAAATGGTTTATCTCCTGTATGTACTCTCATATGCATCACAAGAGAGTGTTTACGACTAAAACATTTCAGACACTCTGAACATTGAAATGGTTTATCTCCTGTATGAACTCTCATGTGTGTCAAAAGATTACCTTTTGCAGTAAAACATTTCAGACACTCTGAACAGCGAAATGTGTCATCTCCTGTATGTAGTCGCATATGATTCACAAGACTGCCTTTTGTAGTAAAACATTTCAGACACTCTGAACACCGAAATGTGTCATCTCCCGTATGTAGTCGCATATGATTCACAAGATTGGCTTTTTTGGTAAAATATTTCAGACACTGTGAACACTGAAATGGTTTATCTCCTTTATGCTTTTTCATATTTTTCAAAGATATTTCCATTTTAAAATACTTTAGTCATTCAAAAGTGGTTTAGTTAATCTAATGTACTCTCATATGTATTTCAAGATTTATTTTTTGGTAAAATATTTTGTGCACTAGACATACAATTTTCCTCATGAATCTATTACAAAGTTTTGATTTGTTTTAGGCAAAACTATTTCTATCTATGATCACTGATAAAGTTTATTTTATTTGTTTTAAGAGACTACAATAATTTTGTTTGTTTTGTGTTAAAAGACAAACATATATGTACTAAAACAATGAACATACACTGAAAAGCATTTTCATTATTTTTCTATTGTGTTTAAATGCTGATTTTTTCTGAAATTGCTTAACAACAATATTACTAACTTACATTTTTCTGTTAACTGCCATGCAGTTTTTAGATAGAATTTGCAATATCAAAAGCAAAATTCTTTAATTATTAATATCTGACCAATTAAAAATTTGTAAGAAAAACAGGTGTTGCCCTTTTTGAAATATTGAAGATTTAGCATAAGATACAATCTGGTAGTCTTTCACTGGGGCTTCTTGAAGTACTGAAGATATCGTGTAAGTTACAACCTGGTAGTCTTTCACTGGGGCTTCTTGAAGTACTGAAGATATCGTGTAAGTTACAACCTGCTAGTCTTTCACACCTTCTTGAAGTACTGAAGATATCAAGTAAGATACAACCTGGTAGTCTCCCACAAAATATTTCTGGAAGAGAAACATAAGTCAGTATAGTACAATATTCCACCATTACCAGCACAACATACTGAACAAGAAAAAAAAAAAAAGTTTTTCTCTATTATCCAATGTTTCACTAAATAAAATTATCACTTTTTAATTTTTAAAGAATAAAAGAAGTAAAGAAGTTTTTATACATAGCATATATATTTATCTGTAAATAGCTAACAGATAAAGCACATAATTAATTTATTAACTAATGATTGTGTAAACAATGTGGCACTAAACATAAACATCTTGAAGGGTAGTAGGGAGTGCTATACACAACCCACACACAGGACATTTGGCAACACTGTAGTTCAACTTGGACCATTAGTCACACAATAACACACAAAGATAAGGGAGCCAGTATATGTACAAGAGTAGGTCAGGGACACAACTAAGAAGGGAAGAAAAATAAAAGAATTAAGTGGAGATAGTAGTGGAAGTAGTAGTGCAGGTAATGGAAGTGGTAGTAGTAGTGGCACAAGAGTCAGAGAATGTTGTGGAGTAAGATAATAGAAGACGAAAAAGTGGAGGAAGTCTCAAGACAAGAAAAAGAGCATTGCAAGAGAGCTAGTGGCCCATGAGAGTGGGACCAAAAATACAGGACAGAACACACTTAGACAGAAGAAAGGAAAGAAAGAAAATACAGTAGGGCCCCGCTTTATGGTGTTTCACTTTACGGCGTTCCGTTAATACGGTAATTTCAAATTATGACCAAAAATCGCTATACGGCTCCCCCCACGTGACTTTCTAATACGGTCACCATGCCCCACCCGGTTTGTTTACATTCTCTGTGAGATCCGTAAGCACTAAGTCTCTCCATTTTGTCTGGAAACTCCAAAATTTCAAGTGTTTTTAAAAGTTATTTCATATTTTATATATACTCTGATAATTATACTTATGTATACCTCTACCTAAATAAACTTACATACTGTGCTGGCGTGCAGGTACACATTAAAATCAGTAAGAGTGTCTTATGTCTCCAGACGTCACATTAGTAATAATAATAATCACCGAGTCTCATTTAAATGTCGTATATTACGTTAATATACACATTTTCATTAATCCATCTATGATATTTTCTCAAAATTATATAATAAACAAAATGCATAACACATAAATATGATAAATACACCTCACAGAAGAACAAATAAACATAAATATGAGATGTGGTAGCAGACGACTTGCACAAGTGACGCCATATTAGAAATAATAATAATAATAATAATAATAATAATAATAATAATAATAATAATAATAATAATAATAATAATAATAATAATAATAATAATAATCACTGAGTCTCATTAACCCTTTGACTGTCGCAACCCCCAATCCTGAGGTGTCTCCTGGTGTCGCAAAATTTAAAAAAAAAAATTTTTTTTCTTATGAAATGATAGAGAATCTTTTCCCAATTGTAATGACACCAAACAAACGAAATTTGATGGAAAACTGATGGAATTATGCTCTCGCGAAGTTAGCGACCTCGGCGCTGTTTACAAATCGGCGACTTTGCCCACTTTGAGCCCTATTTTCGGCTAATTCCACTGTTCCAGTTGCCCAAACTCATAGCTATTTCTTTAGAACTCCATTTTTTCTATCGATTGAGTACAAGAAACTGCCCATTTACTGATTTCAACTACCTAATAATGTGGTCAGAAATTTGCAATTTGGCCAATTTCACAAAAACTAAAAAACATGACAATTTCAAAGTAAGGTCCAGAATGAGCAATGCTGACATTCCTGGCTCTAAAATAACATTTTCTTTGTTCATCAGTCATGTCTCCAAGCCCCTCTGATATTACTCTTGCTTTCTATTTTGAATTTTTATTCACACAAAAAATAGAAGACTTACTATTATGCAGACTACTGCAATACTGTAATAATTGTACAAATAACATCAACTCATTCATGACTGCATATTAGAATGGCTAGTTGGACATTTATTGGACAATGGCATCATTTGTTTACTTTTGAACATTGGCAAAAATCAAACATTTCCCCTACTTTGAGCTCCATTTCTAGGTTCTTTTTATAGTAAAATCAATCAAAATCACCTCTATTTCTATAATATGTTTTCCATTCTATCAAATGAGACCAAGAAAACGAGAATACAACCATAAGTACTATACGAAAATAGACCACAAAGTCGGCATTTTAACCCTTCGAGGGTCGACAGGCCCTCTCCGAAACTCGTTCTCAGGGTCGGCCAAATTTAAAAAAAAAAAAAATTATTTTCTCTTATGAAAAGATAGAGAATCTTTTCCCGATCATAAAGACACCAAAAGTTTGAAATTTGATAGAAAACTTACGGAATTATGCTCTCGCAAAGTTAGCGGTCTCGGCGATGTTTACGCATCGGCGATTTTGCCCACTTTGAGCCCCATTTTCGGCCAATTTCACTGTACTAGTCGACAAAAAACATGAATATTTCGCTAGAACTCCATTTTTTCTATCGAATGGGTGCAAGAAACCACTCATTTATGAAATTCAACTATCCAGTACAGTGGTCAGAATTTAGCAATTTTGCCAATTTCACACAAATTTCAAAAGATGCCAATTTCCGAATAGGGTCCAGAATAAACAAGAAAGACATTCCTGGCACTAAAATGACATTTCCTCTAGTCATTAGTCACGTCTCAAGGCCCCTCTTATATTCTTTTGCTTTCCACTTTGAATTTTTATTTTCACAAAAAATATAAGATTTACTGTTATGCAGACTACTGCATTAGTGTGAAAAATGGTATAAATATTATTGGTGCACTTGTGAAAGAATATTAGACTCACCAGTTGACGTGTATTGCACGCTTGGCACGATTTGTTTACTTTTGAAGTTTGGTAAAAATCGAACATTTCTGCTATTTTGAGCTCAATTTCAAGGCACCTTTCTTTGTAAAACCAGTCAAAAATCATCTCAATTTCTGTAATATGTCTTCCATTCTATAAATGAGACCAAGAAAACTAGAATACAACAATAAATACCATACGAAAATACACTGCAAAGTCGCTGATTTATTAAAAAAAAATGGTCAAAGTTTTTTTTTTCTCATTATGCACTGTGTGCTGCAGGATTTTTTTTAGACTGTGCACACTGACCACATAGACCCATTCTTTCATATGAAGGCCTACCAGCTTTCTCCCACTAGATTTGAGGCCGCTAGAATTTATGAGTACTAGTACGTCAAAAACCCCTACGCGTAAGACGTACTAGTACGACGAAAACCCTCAAAGGATTAATTATAAAAACGGTCAGAGTTTTTTTTTTCTCATTATGCACTGCATGCTCCAGGATTTTTTTTATATGGTGAACACTGACCACACAGACAAATTCTCTCACATGTGGGCCTACCAGCTTTCTCCTGCTTGATTTGAAGCCGCTAGAATTTATGAGTATATATACGTCAAACACTGTACCTCGTAAGACGTATATATACGGCCGCGACAGTCAAAGGGTTAAATGTCGTATATTACGTTAATATACACATTTTCATTAATCCATCCATGATATTTTTTTCAAAATTATATAATAAACATGATACATAACATATAAAGATGATAAATACACCCCACAATAGAATAAATAAACATAAATATGAGATGAGGTAGCATATAACTTGTACAAGTGAAGGCAAGAATAACATTTTCTCCAATCTAACGTAAGAGAAAATGTGTTACTGGGGGTAACTGTAGAAAATTATTCCTTTCATATGTTTCTATTAATTTTTATTATCACACTGGCTGATTCCCACCTAGGCAGGGTGGCCCGAAAAACAAAAACTTTCACCATCATTCACTCCATCACTGTCTTGCCAGAACGGTGTTTTACACTACAGTTTTTAAACTGCAACATTAACACCCCTCCTTCAGAGTGCAGGCACTGTACTTCCCATCTCCAGGACTCAAGTCCGGCCTGCCGGTTTCCCTTAATCCCTTCATAAATGTTACTTTGCTCACACTCCAACAGCACGTCAAGTATTAAAAATCATTTGTCTCCATTCACTCCTATCAAACACGCTCGTGCATGCCTGCTGGAAGTCCAAGCCCCTCACACACAAAACCTCATTTACCACCTCCCTCCAACCTTTCCTAGGCCGACCCCTACCCCTCCTTCCTTCCACTACAGACTGATACACTTTTGAAGTCATTCTGTTTCGCTCCATTCTCTCTACATGTCCAAACCACCTCAACAACCCTTCCTCAGCCCTCTGGACAACAGTTTTGGTAATCCCACACCTCCTCCTAACTTCCAAACTACGAATTCTTTGCATTATATTCTCACCACACATTGCCCTCAGACATGATATATCCACTGCCTCCAGCCTTCTCCTCGCTGCAACATTCATCACCCATGCTTCACACCCACATAAGAGCATTGGTAAAACTATATTCTCATACATTCCCCTCTTTGCCTCCAAGGACAAAGTTCTTTGTCTCCACAGACTCCTAAGTGCACCACTCACCCTTTTCCCCTCATCAATTTTATGATTCACCTCATCTTTCATAGACCCATCCGCTGACACGTCCACTCTCAAATATCTGGATACATTCACCTCCTCCATACTCTCTCCCTCCAATCTGATATCCAATCTTTCATCACCTAATCTTTTTGTTATCCTCATAACCTTACTCTTTCCTGTATTCACTTTTAATTTCCTTCTTTTACATACCCTACCAAATTCATCCGCCAGCCTCTGCAACTTCTCTTCAGAATCTCCCAAGAGCACAGTGTCATCAGCAAAGAGCAACTGTGACAACTCCCACTTTATGTGTGATTCTTTATCTTTTAACTCCACGCCTCTTGCCAAGACCCTCGCATTTACTTCTCTTACAACCCAATCTATAAATATATTAAACAACCACGGTGACATCACACATCCTTGTCTAAGGCCTACTTTTACTGGGAAATAATCTCCCTCTTTCCTACATACTCTAACTTGAGCCTCACTATCCTCGTAAAAACTTTTCACTGCTTTCAGTAACCTACC